GCATGTCCCTGTCAGCAGCACTGTTGCAGTGGTTTTGGGATGCCCCCATCATCCATGAATCAAACTGTGACGCCCATAGGCGATGGCAGCATAGAAAATTGAACCTGGGATTGTTTTGCTATCTTGCACCACCAGTGCCATGTCGTGCCATATCTTTCTGAACGACCCTTGACACTGCGGTGGGTTCTTTACTTGACCGGTTCGACCACTTAGTTACTTAGTTGGTTCGTGAATGAAGACATTGGTAGACATGGAGATGTTGTTCCTCTTCAGCTGTCAGCCTTTTAAGTTGGAGAACGACAAAGATTCATATCATATCCTTTTAGGTGTTCTTCCTTCCACCCTTTTGGCATGTTTTCCATCGGGGTTCCTGGACTCCTCCAGAACTCCACGCGTCGCAGCCGACTGCGAAACGTGGAAGATGGCGGACCAACCACCCCGCTCTTAGGTTGGAGGCCAGTAGGGTTGAGGCCATTGCTCTTAAGTAGCTAGTGAGCTAGTTAGCTATTAGTTAGCCCATTGCGCACCATGAACTCCTCCGCTCCAAACCCGGACGCTACCGGTTACCGGCGGCCTCGCCGGCCGGCAAGCCGTTCGACTGGGGCGACGAGTGTTGCCTCCACAAACGCGTTTTGCTTGGGTTTTCATGTGGATCTCTTCCAGGGCATTAGTCTTTGGATTTGCAATGCATCCCGCGGGTGTTGCGCAGGAAATACCCGGTAGACATACAAGCAGAGCTGCTTCATAGGCCTACAAGCACATGATTTAGAAGGATCTTCAAGTGAGCCCAGCAACAGCAACTGAACCCGACGAACTGTTACCATTTGAACCTTCTCCTTCCAAGCTTGTTGTGATAATCCCTTTAAGCCATTTTGGCATCACTTGCAAGACCAGTCATAGAATATAGTTTCAGAGAATCCAGTTTCTATAGATGTTTCTAGATAACCGATGTGGTACTAGCAGCTGAAGACAGGTTTAGCTTGCCTTGGCATGCCTCAGCCTGCAACATGCCTAGTTGCTGAGTTGCACAGATTGGCAGCCTTTCCATGAAACTCCTCATCTTTGTGCTTTTGGCGAGCGCGGTGGACGTTCTCCATCCTGGAAGACCGGAGACGTTGTGGACGGCATTGTGCACGAAAACATGAAACATCGAGCCAAGGCGCGTCCGTTTGTTGCCGTGCCCACCGGATTTTCTCGAATTTGGGGATCCGGCCGCAGAAGGCTGAAGTACAGTAGCGATGCCCTTGTTAGTAGCAAGAAGCTGGCATCCAATTTGGTGTAACTCTATCCATTTGGCTTCCCACCTGTTCCAGTCCCACTCCTTCTTCAAGCCCTCCTTCCCGCTTCGCGAAATCGTCGACCCATTCGACCCGGTCGAGCCAGCGAGGCCACGCTGCGAGGGCTGGAGGGCTCGATGTGTCCCCAGAAGCTGCGCGGGATTCCCAGCGGCTTTGACTATGGCATCGGCTGTGCCTTTGTGGAGAAGAACTTGGCCGGAGTGGAGGGGAAGGCGGGTTTCATCAAAAAAACGGAAGACACGTTTGGGTTTCCGTTTGGGATTTGTTGATATCACCGGAGCCGCGACGTGTGCGCCACCCAGGGCTGTCACTGTCTGAGCCTCCTTGATGTGTGCGCCACCCAGCCGCGGATCCGCCGCGTGGATCAGCTGCACAGCGAGATGCAAAGATGAAGCGTCGAGACGCTGGGCTACTGCCGCACAGGCCGCGGTTTTGGCAGGCCACACACGCGCTGTTGCGCGCTGGGGCTTGTCTGTTGGTCGCTGTTCGGTATTGGTTTGGAGAGGTGGCAGCTGGGGCATGTTTTGTTTGGACGACTGTGGTTGGATCCACAAAAATCGACCAGATGGATGATGCGCACATCCAAAAAAACACCAGACAATTTCACAGAGTTGCATCAGCTGATGACACTCTATGGTTTGTTGATGTTTATTTTGCATGCCGCATGACTATACCGTATGACTCATGACTAATTATACCTGTGCTTGCAACTGTTGCAGGTGCCTGGGTTTTTGCTCTCAGCGGCGCGCTGCTTCTGGGAACATTGGGAGGTGTGGCGGTGCTGCTGAAGAGGAGAGGCCGTGTAGATGTCTCAAGACGAGAAGCAGGGCAAGCCCAAGCCAAAGCTGCTGCGGCTTAGAGACTTAGAGAACATTTGAGGCTGTGGTCGATCTGGATGTCCAATCACAGCGAATTTCCAAATTTTCTGTGCTCAGTACCGTGAGCCTGGCCATGTGCACCATGCACAGTGAGGAAACCTTCCACCTGTCAAATTCTCCCCGGTCCTACAGAAATCACGAAATCGAGCTCAGAAGGAGTTCAGCGGAAGTTGTTGTTTACGAAATATAGTGAGGCTCAAAATTGAAAGGTTCAGTGAACTAAATTAAAGGGAGGGGTCAGCCGAGGGGGCCCCCCCCCTCCCCTCCCTTTTTATTGATTCTTTCAATAACCTCTCCTCCCGTCGCAAAGGAATTGATATTTCAATTGCAGATTGAAACGTCTAAGGGGGGGTGGCCCCCCCCTGTAAAGTGAATTGAAAGAGGCTATTCGACTCCTCCCTCGTCCTTGTGAGAAAGCATACCAAATGCCTAGAAAAGACAATATGAAAGTCGATGTTTTTTTTTTGTGTTCGGTTGACTCAGCCAACAACACTTTGCGCTCGTGGCACAAAAGCGTTGCGTTGCCCCTCCCTCCGCGTCCCCTTGATCCTTCCACACCCCTCGCTTTCGTCCCCACTGTCCTCAAGTTGTTCTTAGGGGCCAGACAGAGACTAAGAATGAGCTCGCCATACTTTTGTCACACCCTCCTCGGCTCAGTCTCGGCCAGTTCCCAGAACGTTTGAATCGAGAGAGGAGTGCCCAAGATTTTGGTCCATTTTTGGTACACCAAGACATGTACAGATGCAAAAAACAAAAAAATAAGGTTTCCACGTCGGAGAATTGCTTGCAAGAGTCTCAATTCCCTCACCCCAGCAGCTAAATGGGTGTTTTGCTGTTGGTGAGAACTCATACTTTGCAACGTGTACACGTGTGTGGTTGCTTGTCATTGTGTTTCATTGCCATTGCTTCTCATGCCCAACTGCCCGTTCGTTTTGGGGCCAAACGGAAAACAACCAAAACACCAGGTCACCACCCGGCGACTGAGCAGTGACCCGGCACCTGAGCCGGCCACAGCCATCACCCCTACCGTTCGCGCCGCGCCGTTGGCGCCACGCATGGACTCAGCTCCCCCAAAAGTCCGCCGTCCGCGGAGCGGTGGAGTGGAGCACATCGTTCGCTGGGAGGAGGAGAAGTGATCGATTTGATGATGTGAAGGTCTCCCAGCTTTGTTGGAGGGGATCGTTTCTGAAAGGGTCTTCTCTTCATAGCAGATCTTTTGGTGTTTCTTTTTGCTGTTTGGTTCCGTGGGTGATGTGTCTCTTAGTGATTGACCAACATGGGCCCAGTCTAGCCAGTCCCGTGGTTGGACGAGAAGCTGCCTTTTGGGTGAGGAGTATGCGACTGACGATTCATTCCGCTGGAGAAATCCGACTCCAGTGGCGATGCGGCTGGTTTTGTCCATCCTACTTCTTGGAACTCCAGAAAAGCCGACAGTCTAAGCACTCCCCAGAGTTCCCTATGGAACCACCTAGTAGCTTCTTGTGGACCCTCCGGCCAGGACCACCTTCCGTGGGCTGAAGGTCTTCGTGAACCGAGAAGTGCCGTTGAGGCCGGTCGGTCCGGTGGGCGTTCGTCGCAGTGGCGAGTGGTGAAGGGAGCTCGAGGACTGGAACGATGGGATGCTTTGGCTGGGGGCTCTTGCTCCGAGTGGTTGGCCAGGAGCCCCGTTCATTCCGTTCGCTGGAGGGGGACCTGACCTGGTGGGCCCCCCACGAAGGAAGCTCGCGCTGGGGGAAAGAGCCGGAAGAGCCGTGCCCAGTGGAAATATGAGGTCAAATGACGTCATATACCATATATGTATATCACATATATATATATATATACCTGGACCCTGAAACGATGTCTTTTTTTCCGTCTCGCCAGAAAACATGACGCAGAAACATGCAGCAAATTCGCGATAGAAAACATGACGCCAAAATGACGCAGAAGTGACAAAAAACAACGCAGAAGTAACAAAAATCGACACCAAAACTGTTTGTTGTGTGGGTTTTTGAGCTTCGCCTGAAAATTGCCCTCACCAGAAAAAAAATACGTCTTTTGCAGGGTCTAGGTATATAAAATATATTCTCAAGGCAACTTCCACCAGCTTCGTGTTTCTAATGAGCTGATGTTTCTTTTTGATGCCCCGGGCCCGTGTTGTTTTTCTACCTGTGAGCGTCGACGTCCTACATGATCTCGGAAGACAAGAACGGAAGCAGCATGTGTTGCGAACGTCCGCCATCGCAGAACTAGCCAGGCTGAGCACAGCTGCAGAAACAGTGGCCAAACACTTGACAGACTGGATGTCACAACCTAAATCAACAACCCCTAACCGTGTCTTTTCTCACTGCCGTCGACCTTGCGTCACTTGCCATGGGCGCCACCACCAGCACGTCCCTGGCTCTACTGGACGACGCTGCCTGTGAAGAAGTGTTGCGGAAGTTCATCGCGGCTGCTGCGCAGGGCAGACGAGCAGCTTGGAGAGTGCATTTTTCAGACGGGTGCGTGGTTTCTAGTGATACAATGTGATACATAGATCTAGATCTATCAGCTTTTGACGGATTTCGTCACTGAGATAGGTAGGTTCCTGCCCATGCGAAGCGGCCAAACGAAATCCATTCTCCAGGGACTACTCGTACTTCTATCTTATATTTTTAAATAGACTACAGCCCGAGTGAGGGGGTGGGTGTCCTGGTTACGGGTTGCTGAACAATATGTTTATTTGATATCGGGCTTGGGCACTTCTACCTCAGATCCAGGGGTGGATCAAGACCAAATCAGTTCCAAAACCGTTGGCACCAGTTGGAAAAACACGTCTAACTGGGAGGTCCCTTTTCCTCCGCAGAGATTGGTATGGTCAATGTGACATTGGCTCTCACGCGTTCGACCCGATTCCCGGACGTGAGCAGAAAAAGCTCGGACGTTGTTTGGCTGTCGAACGGTCGGGTTGTTTGGAAGTCGTTTTTGGTGGCCCGCAGACTTTTTGGTGGAAATCGGGTCCTTCAGAAGGGCATGCGGCATGTGTGTGTGTTCAAACGAAGGGTTTGGGGCACTTCAAGTCTTCTGAATTGGTTGGAGGCCATCGCTTCTAGGTTGGAGGCCATGGGCCATTGCTATTAAAAACAAAAAAGAAAAGGAAGAAAGGTGAAAAGTGTAGTTTGCTATTAGATTGGAGGCAATCGTTTCGTCATGGACTTCTTCAGAAAAGATAGATGTTTGGACAGGTGGAAGTGGAACAACATCCGTTTGGAATGGCCAGGAAAGACGAGTCTTCCTGTGATCCTGTGACCCGACGTTTGTTCTCGGACGACTCACGGTGTTTGTCCCTGGTAAATCGGAAGCGAAGGTGCAAAAGGGCAAAAACCAAAGGGTAGCTACTAGGAACAAGTGCATCGCTACTAGGAGCAAGGGCCTTACTAGTAGTAACAAGAAGCTATTAGAATCTTGTTACAAGTAGTTCCCGGGCAAGCCGGCGGCGGAAGTTTCGTATAAGAAGAAATTGACCTATAGGAGTGTCCACGTTCTCTACAACATGCGCGTCCTCCAGTCAAACGCACGCGCTCCGGACTTTTGACCCACGGGATTCCACGTGTGTAAGGTGTGTGCCCCCCTGCAGGATCAGCAGCTCACAACAGCGTACTGGGTTGTATCTTTGCCACGACAAGAGGGGTGTATGACGAGTGGTGTATGTTGAGTGGTGTATGATGAGTGGTGTATGACGAGTGGTGTATGATGAGTGGTGTATGCTGAGTGGTGTATGATGAGTG